CTGGTACAACCGTTGGATATAGAGGAAGTAAAAAAACATGCAGTCATAAAAAGATTTTGTCAAAATCAAATATAAGATTAACAAGCAAATATAAAAATTACAAGGTAACAATTTAAAAAATTATAAATATAGATAATATTTTGAATTAATAAACAGATAAAATAATTCAAATTATTTAACTTTGTACATAAAAAGTTATCCACTATATAAAATGAAATGAAATTTTAATACCATATTAGCACATCTGTTACCACACTCAAGTCATGGAAAGTTCAATCATTTTATAAAAGTGTGCTAATTAATAGAGGTACAACCACAAAACTACTTGAGTATAAAATACTACCAGTTTGTAATCAGCAGTCATAGAACAAGAAAAAGATAATAAATGACCATAAAATATAACGATTTTATGCTGTCTAGGTGGTTAACTAGTTTTATACTTAAGAAACTCATCAACAGCGGTTCTCAGGTCTCTTCGCTTGAGGATTTCTTATATTTTTCCTTCTACCCTGAAGATGGAGGCGATATGTTCCTCCGAAACGTCGGTTAACACCACATATACACGGTGCCAAATCCCAGAAGACTGCTTTCTTCTTGATATTATGTTCTTGCATTTGTGTATGATACCCTAATAGTTGTTACCAATCTATAAGCTCACTATTTTGGGTATTATTTATTCATTGATATCAGTAATCTATATTTTATGATTTATGATGGGTTCATTCTTGAATAGTGCATTGATTTCTTTGTGGAATAATAAAATAATAATATGTCAACAGCATAATAACGCATACATGTACTGATACTGTAGCATCTTTTTCAGGTTTCTGTTACATGTGGAGAGCAATTCAATGTCTAATTTCAGTGTTGAATATTTCAACACCTCTTTCCTATCAATGCAAATATGAAACCATTCTATTTCATGTAATATTAAACATGCACTTGGGTGTACTTTATTTCATTTCTGTCATAGCCTTCTGTGATTCATGTGCTGATTCGTGTTTTCTCCTATTGCCTGTACTGTAACCTGAAGGTATAAGGGACCAGAATAGTTACCTTAAAAGCCAGAACCTTGCCTAGGTTGAATTAGATCTGTTTGTGTAGTAATATGACATGGGTTGGGGTAATATTTAAATAAAACCATTTATTTCACCATTCAAATACTTGTTTCAGCATTATTTGATTGATTTTGTGATGAATTTTAACGTAATTTATATACTCTAAGAATGTTATAAGACAAGAAAACCCAATAAAACCAACTTCACCAGTACTAATTCCATATGACTGAAAACATTTATGATAGTGTACCTAAAAATTTCATTTTATAAGGAAAGGTTTTCAATATGAAATTAATATCATAACATTTTGAAAGGTGGATAGGTGTTGACCCGCTTCAAGTCCTGTACCTACACAGGAGGAAAAAAAAAATTTGGATTACACTTCCATTCTGTAAGCGCACTTTTCAAAGTCATAATTCCAGTGTTTAAACCATCCAGTATTGCACACAACTTACGTGGCATTTTGAACTGCCATGCAAAAACACTGTATATGTGTGAAAGTAATGGTCATCATATTCTAAGTTTAAACAACAAACATTTTAACAAATGTTGCAGTTTTGCAACATAGCGTATGTATTTTTTGAAGAAGTGCACTTTTAGTTACATTAGGACTGAATTACTAAATTCAATTAAGTTAATTTTCAATCAGATATGAATTTAATATCATGACCTTTACATCAATGAATCACATTCAATTAAAATTTTGCTTTTAAAATTCAGAACTTAATATGTAGGTCTCTTTGTGACCTAAATTTATCAGCCAAGTGTTCAGCATAGAAATCAACTTTTTATTTTCATCTCATGAAGAATCTGCATTTATACTATTCTATTAATTTGTCTTCATTCCTAAGGAATTTGAAGTCAGTTCCTATTCATGTTCATGAATCAAGGTTGATTACATTTAAGTCTCCCCATTGGAAATTAATATATTGTTTATATTATCTATACAAATAAACTTACATTAAATTATAATCCTGAAATCTCATTAAGTTCAATTTATGAGGATGGTTCCTTGTAAATTGGCCCTCAAATGAAAATGTTCGTTTAGCATGATTAGTTATATTTGGTGAAAATTATATACCATAGTAGAATTGTTTCTTAGAGCTTTAGGAAAAATAAGATACCAGGTAAAAATACAACATAAACAATTTTCAGTTTATTAAATATATGATCTCTTTAATTAAAAATTGAAAGAGATTTGGATTAACTTCAGAGAATTGTGGAATTGAATGAATTAAATTGATGATGTAAATGAAGCAGAATTATGGTTATAATAAAATTATTTATTATCTTGATGTCAAAGCTTATGCAGATCTAATCCATTTCATAAATAATTTTGCTGCACATGCAATGACAAAAATCTTCAACGATTGTTCGAAATCATATGCAGATATATACATATCTTGCACAGTGATCCACCATGCTTTACTAGAAACTCTTCTAAAGGGACTGAGAATTTGATAATATATTACATAAAAATTAAGCACATAAAAAATGAGAAGTCGTATCTGGGCAGTGTTATTTTCTTAAATTTTTGTTTTGACAGTAGAAAATTATATTCTCATTCTATTTCTTCTCTATAATTTGTATTCTATCAAAATTGACCCCTTTAAATCTGAACATCTAATCATAAGAAAATTACGAATTCTTAGAAAGACTGAAATTATTGAGTATGTTATTAAGCTGCTTCATTATAAGTTTTAATGATATTTATTATCTGTCATTATTGTTTACAAATGTGAGTCAGAATCTGTCATACTGGTGATGTTCTTACCTTAAAAGTATGGAAATGATCAGAAAAGGCTGTATTATCCGTAATCATTTCCAATTAATACCAATTATGCAGCTAGTCCATGTATTCTATTGCAACATGGTACTGCTACAGACTGGGTCTTCCTGATAGGCTTATTGGGCATGGAAGAAGTGAGACCAGAGAACCGTAATTCTTTAAGGTTTTGGGTTGCATTTAAATTTTATGATCAGTAAATTGATAGCTTAACGTTTGTTTTATTGCATCTTAATTTTTAAACTTAGGCAAGGTTATATACCATAAAACGTATTTCTCTGTTAGGGAATTCCTATTTTTTGTTGTTGTGAAATGTTTGGCAATGAACTATGTAAGATTCTTAACATAATTATAACACACCCATCTGTGTTGGATATTTGTTTTGAAACTAACATTTACACATCTAAAACACACAATTTGAGCCTTCCTTAAAAAAATCTTTCTGCTGGCCTTAAACTCATACAATAATGCAAAAGAATCCTATGAGCATTGAAGATTATAAGAATTAATGGGTAAGGAAATAAGTTCTGTTTTGTAGGTAATCACCAAATTTACTTTTAAAGAAAATTATTATACTGGCAAAACTTGGCATATTTGAAGAAAGAAATATTATATCACCAAGTGTATATCGAAGCTCTGGGAATGTAAATATTTCACCTGTCTTATCACATGTCATTAAAATAGTAAGTGTAATGGTGTGCGTAAAAATAGTGTCCAGTGTACAGTATAGCACATGAATACCACTTCTTACTCCATTAGGCATCTTCATCATCATCTGCATGGATTATTCCACATTTTGCCTCTTCTATCCTCATGAACAGTACATTGGTCCCTCTACCTTAAATGTGGGTGCCCTGTATTTCATGATCTACTGGCTGGCATGTTAACATTTTCTTCGGGATTAATCAGGGTTAATTTTTTATTACAAAAGTGTTTTTCTAGATGCCATAAGTACCATGAGGGAGCCTCAACTCTCAGGAAAATTAAATGGGTAAGACAGATATTAATTGCTGTAAATCAAGGGAAATTAACAGAGAGGAAAACAGCTAATTAATGATGCTTTATTCAAGATGTCATGAAATTTTTTTTCATCGGTTTCATCTATTTGCCTATAAAATTCAGCATTCTAATTCATACTTCCTTCTCTATCCCGTTGCATGTTCTAAGTTATTACCATTACAAGCTTCCTTCACACTTTACAGCCATTCCAATACATATTCTGTTACCTTTAGTACAACGTTTTGGAATGCTGTACTTCAAACCACACTCCCTCTTGCATTGACTGTTCACACCACAGGCACTATCTGAAGTTCTCCTTTCCATAACTTACATACACAGGTATAATGTTATAATTTTTAAGACCTAGAGGTTCCTAGTGAACTTTAAGTATGTGTGTGTGTGCGCACACTGTGCATACATGTTTGTGTGTGTGAAGGTGCTTTGTGCCTTCACTGCTGTAATGTGTTGTGACCCATGGTTTGCTCAGCTTTGGGAAATATTGTACTACTCAGGATAACCAGGAGTGTGTGACCCGACCTGGGAGTGGGCGAAGATTCTCACTCGCAGTGTTAATCCCAGACTGGCCTCAGCTCCAATCAGTTTCCATCAGAAAGACTGAGGTCTGATTTTGTATGAAACATACTTCATATACATGCATATAATCTCTATATGACATGTATATGATATTAACTTTGTTATTATTCATAAATACAAATTTATTCCTTTAAATACATTATTTTATTTATGGTTGCAGGAATTCTTATAACCCAGTGTTTCTCATGACTGCCTAGAAATAATTATAACAATGTTTCATCTTGACCTATTGTAGTTTAACATCAACCTGTAACTAAACAAAAATTTTGTGAGATATGTCATCAGCACATTTCAGTAATAGGTAACTGAGTCTTATGGCTCTTCTTTCTTTTACACAATTATATTTGTCATTGGAATGTATTTTCAAACCATCCTTCAAAACATTTTATGGACTTTATACATGGTTTCCTCCAAATGGGACACATTTTTGGTCACAGCACTCCTTTTTCATAAAACTCATGAGTCAGGTTAGTGTAGAGTGGTCAGTGCACAGGCGGAACTCTTCTCCGCAGAGGTACTTACGGAAATGTTCCAGTGTCCTCAAGAGCGCAATTAGTTCCTATAGGGTGATGCAGTAATTTCTCTTGGCCTTGTTTACCGTCTTACTGTAGGAGGCTATTACTCGCTCCTTCCTGTCCTGTACTTAGGAGATCAGCCCTCCTATCACGACATTACTTGTGTCAGGGTCAATGATGAATTTCCTTCTGGAGTCCACTGGAAGACTTCCTTCTCCTCTGATGGGGCATGACAGGGACTGTTTGACTCTTCGATAACCCCAAGGCATTGCATGTTGTAGAGCATCTCGCCTACTTCTGCCTGCTGTGCATTCTGTAAGTTCGTGGTATCCCAGATCTGTGGTTGTTCCACATTGAATGGGGTCACCAGTACACGACTGGCTCCCAGAGTGCCAGCAGGATACTTTCGTGAACTTTTGGTAGTGATGGGTACCATTCAGGAACCTCGTGGGTACCTCCTGTTGGTTCTGGACCAGGGTCCTGGCTATGTAGTGTCTTTCAGGAGGATAAACTCCTGGACTCTGTTATACTAGGCCATTTTCCACTCCAATGGGGCTCTCCATTCCAGCCATCACCATTCCCTCACACTGAGCAGGTATCACCAGATCGCTGGCCTCAACCAGGCTGGAAGGCCATGACAGACTTGGGGCTCCATAACGATACCTGTTTCTCTGCAAGATGCAGTGTTTGGCGCCCTAGGTCCACATGTGCATCATATGTGAGTAGGAAATCCAGCCCCAAGATGGACTCATTTGTAATATTGGCAAAGAATATCCAAATTTCCAGTGGGTGCCACCCCAGGGTCAGTGTCAGGAAAACTTCCTTCAAGATGGGGAGGGCTTCCCCAGATACCGTCTGCAGCATGTAACATTGGTTCGACTGTCTTTTGGACCATCCGGCGGCAATGTTGTGCCTGTCCATGGGCATGAGACATGGTTTGTCATCGACACAGCCCGGTGTGACCATTTCCATAATGACAGTCAACATGTGATGGAGGTTTCCTTAATTCATACACCGGCACCCGCCCTTTTCCGTTGGCCCCCCGCTCATTTCCTGACGGTTGGCCATTCCTCCTGTCCGGTTGCCATTCAGACTTTCTTGGTGGTTTCCATCTGTTGCTCACAGGCCTCTCATTAAGATTCCGGCGCTGGTTGTCGTTTTCTGCTTTCCTTCCACAGGGGCAGCTACCCTGGAAGTGGCCTGGATCTCAACAACTCCAGCATGCCCATCGCCTTTTGTCTTTTTGATGGGTGAGGGTGATTGGCTCCCACAGAATGTCCTGGCGCTCACTTTGTGGGGCCTGGCAGCTAGGATCATGACTTGAAGTTCAAGGGCCTGCCTGAGAGCCTCATTCACTGTCTTCTCCAGCAGCAGCTGGATTTTTATGGCAGAGTCTTCTACACCATCTGCGAACACTTTGTCTGCCGCATTCATCATGTGGTCCTTGGGTAGTATGGGGGAAGGCATGGCTGGTGGGCAGGCAGACGAGCTGTTTGATGGCTGTGGCAAATTCTTGCAAGGATTCCAAGCCATAACTTAGGACCTTGCTTTTAGCTGACTGATATGTGTGGTACCAAGGTGCTGGTCTCCAAAGCGGTCCTCCAGAACCCAAAGCCTTTTGGGACTCTGTGTACCATGTTGGTGGCTTGGTCCTGCAAGGCGGTGGTGAAGTAAGTGGATTTCTCCTGTCATGTCCAGCAGTTGTGCTCTGTTAAAATCTTGAACTGGTGCCAGAAATTTATATTTCCAATAATGACAATGCTCTGCAGCATATTCTTTAGTCAAGTATGAAGTTGATGGTATAAATCTAAAAAGCAGAGGAAGCAGATTATTATTGCAGATGCAAATGTGTATTCTGAAAATATAGGAATGAATTCTTATTTGGTGTATACATTTCTTTCATTCATTGGCTCAGTCAGCACCATACTAATAACTGTAAACAACCAGTAGTAATATCACTGAATAATTAGAGATAATTTTCTGTTTGAAACTACTGTGGTCAGAAAGTTAACATAAACAGAGGGCTATTTCTTCATGCAGTAATAACCGATTGGTTCTAAATTCACCTGGTAGACAAAGAATTGTTAAAGGTTTGGAAATGCATTCAATTCTTTTCACAATTAAAACATTAAATAATGATTTGGTTAAATTTTATACTTCATTTTACACCTATTTTTGTACCATATATTTACTCCAATACTAACCATTAGTATCTTTCTTCTCCACTTCTTTTGATTTCCTTTCATATCTGAAATAATAGCAATACAGCATAGTATCTTAAAATATTCTAGAAGTAACAAAAGAAATTTGTTGTTTTTTAGAAGAAATCACATTTCAGTTTACACACACAGTTCCTTTAATATCTATCTTAATCTCTATCCGAGCAGCCTTAAGTTACATCTCATATCTCTAAAAGAGTTGTGCATTTGTAAATTCTAGAGAAAACATTTAAGAATTAAAATATTCAAATGTTCATATGTACGACATTTATACACTTTATAAGGTGAATTTATTTCATAGGAAAAGAATTATGTAAATGTAAAAAGTAACATATATTATGGTTTGTTACACTATATTACTTCCTTCTGGTGACCAGTAATACATTTTATATTTTATTAGAGTTTAATATTCTGTCATACATGACAAATATGTTTTATTTTCAAATTTTAAAGATGGATAACACAGAATCATCAACTTTATCAGAATTCAAAATACTGAAGATTGAAAAGCAGTAACATGCTGAGCTGCTTGTTAATAACATCGACAGTCACATATTTAAAATGACATATTATGTATTACACCCAAAATACTTCTGGAAGTATAGGTAATGAAACTCAAGGGTTTAAAATGTATCATTCTTATTCAACATGAGATATATATTGTTGTGCGTTTGCTAGGCAACGCGACAAGAAATTTTGTGTGGGTTCTCGGATTTGAACGAAAATTTATTGGACAGTCACTTTTACACACACTTACAGTTATTCTCCACTTATAACATCCTTTAGATGTTTCTTCTCCAATGTTACAACACTCTTGCCCCCTTAATCTCGGTGAAGTATCTTCTGCTCTAGTTGGATGAGAACTCTTCTGTTCTCTTGCTGAATAGCAACTCTACTCTTCTAAGGTCAAATACAAACTGAACTAGTATCAAGTCAAAGTCAAAGTCACATTGAGACTTTCACTTGGACTCAATAGGGAATACCATGTTGAAGGGTTAACCTTGCCCGCTGCTATGCAAAAGCTTTTTCAAACAATTCATTTGTAATGGTGGAAATTCCACTGTTAGATTGCTAGCCGTTGTAGCGGGGACGTCGCTTGTTGCCTAGGAAATCTACCCTGATCTCCTAAGCCATTCTGGCTCTCTTGCAGTGAGCCACAATATATAAATTTGAGGTTTCAGTGTGAAGAGAGGGGATATGAATATGATGTGCCTCCAAGTGATGATAGTGCGTGAAATAATGTTCCACACATGATTGCTCTAGTTTGATAATATATCACTGGTAAGGTAAAGTTGTCCCTGTGGTTAACTAATTAATCACTACACCATGAAGGTATATGGGGGAGTAAATGTATAGAACCACATATTCTTGATCTTGGCACTAGATGGAGGTGAGTGGTCAGCTTCATGCCCAGGCTGCTTTACCCCCAAGGAAAAAGGACCTGGTACCTGTTAGATAGAAGGTTGGGTGGGCAGCATGACCGGTCTGAACAATGAGGAAGAGTGAAAATTCTTGACTGCACCAGGACGTGAACTCCGACCCCTCTGTCATCCAGTCGCTGTACTGACTGCGCTTTCCAGGCTCACAATATATCATATGCATGTTTATCAACTTATCTGTCACTTTCTTACTTTCTTATTCTTTGTGAGAAGAAACTTTAAAATCCACCATCAGCTTACTAGGCCAATTAGTCAATCGGGGAGCAAGTTCCCTCCACACCTCCACTCCTACATACCTCTTCATGGTGTAGTATTTAATTAAGAACGCACAGGAACAACTTTACTCTTTTACCTTTTACCCTTCCTTGAGCATAAATGTGGAGATTGAAAACTATCATGAAAATAAGATGAAAGCACACAAAAGGAAGTCACACAATTATGCAGGAAATAAGAGCAAGTCATGAAATAAATAATAAATAAATAACATAAATTAAAATATTCACAACAAAGGAGAAGATGAAGCCTGACACAGGAAATGTAAGAAGCTTGAATGTAAGAGTGATCAAGCTTGTAGAAGTGACTGAAGCTGCTGTGGTAGCCTATGCTAATTAATATTTAGCAATATCTTTACAAAGCTTGGACTTACAGAGACCTTAAGAGAGGGAAATTTGTCCCTGTGCTTAATTAATTAAGCACTATTCCTTGAAGATATATTGGGGAATGAGGGTACAGCTACACAATTCTTGACCTTGCCACTAGATGGGAGGTGAGTGGTCAACTTTACACCCCAGCTGCCTTATCCCTGGTGAAAGAGTCCCTGGTACCCATTGGAAAGGAGGTCGGGTGGGCTCCAGATCCGGTTTAGATATTGTGCAGAAGAGAAAAATCTTGTCCTTCTGGGAATCGTAACAAAGAAACAATATTTGTACTGAGAATTTGTAAAATTTTACATAAAATAAACACATGTAGGGAGAGAGACTGGGACTTCTAACAAGGTTCAGATCTGTCCTCTCATCAAAGGGAATTTTCCAGTGTGACTCTAACTCTGTCATGACCTTAAACTAACATATGATTATGCCTCACAGAATGGTGTAAACACAAAGACGTGTGACTGAGTGTCAGTCAGCAAATGGCTTGGAATCAGAAGACAGATTGCGATGGGAACAACAGGTTAGGAAATGTATCAGAAAGAAGGAAGTACATAGGAGGAAAATGACGATGACCTTTGGGAAGATATGGAGATATATGATGCATCTGAAGATGAAATATCAAAGGAAAATAAAAGAATATATAATGATATTTTTATGCTTATATTACATACTGCATGAAGGAATTCTACTTACTTACTCATGGAGCTGAGCCCTTCTTGAGGAGCCGCCAAGTCTGCAGCTACTCAAGAATTTCCCAGCATTTTATGGAACCCGAAGGTTCATCACCGTGTTCACAAAAGCCCACCACTGGTCCCTATCCTGAGCCAGATATATCCAATTCTAATACTCCTTAATAATCTAAAAAGAATTATAGTTCTAGCACATCCTCTCCATTTGGAAAGAATATCTGGAAGATGGACTTCACAAACATGCGCTTTCACCATCATACAGACACATATTAAGGACGTTGGTGGGTTGGTGGGTCACTGAATCTGTAGATTTGGCAGCGGTGTTTATTCCTGGATTGGTTGGAGTGGGGAGGATGCCATTACTGCCACCCAGCAGCCTACTTCAAATCATTTTAGTTGCAATGGAGCCGGGGAGTGGAGCACAATGTGCTCTTACTGTGAAAGCATTTTACAAAAACGGTGACAGTTTCGTGATCGCTCAGCGTAAATTTCGAAGAGAGTTTGGTATTCATCGCAATCGTGCTGTTCCATCTGCCCATGCCATCAAGACCTGGGTTCAAAACTTTGAGGCTACTGGTTCTACAGCACGTACACTCGAGAATGTAGCGGCAGTGAGAGAAGCCATTGAACGAAATCCAAGCCGGTCTGCGTGTCTCCACGTTACATCACTCGGGCAGTCCGAAGACGGCGTTCGACGGATATTGCACAAAGAACTCCACTTCTACCCCAATAAAATTAAAATTACTCGTGCACTACACGAACACGACTATGAAAACAGAGTCGATTTCTGCAGGACTTTTTTGCAGTTGATTAATCAAAACCAAGATGCTAACAACTTATTGATGAGCGATGAAGCTCACTTCGATTTATCGGGGTTTGTTAACAAGCCAACTTTATTGCCAACTTTTGCGGATAGAGGATGTCGCGTGGTCAGCGCTACGAATCCCCACGGCCATTATAGCAAGTGTGACATAACTTCGAACAAGGCCAAGAGTAAATGGACCACTACAGGTCTAAGTGCATGGGGAAACCCACCCTCTCCAATAACTAACCTTGAATGCGCAGAAGAAAAATTTTAGGCAAGAGGGTGGAGGGTGTGAGAAGTGACAGGCGACAAGTTGAAGAACGAGTGTTAAGAAACTCCTCCCACCACAAGCTATGCGCGGGATTTGAGTAGGAATGCGGGGCCTTCTTCAAAGTTACATGACACTGTCTATAATTTCGAGTTTGTAGACCGGAGCCGCTATTTCTTTGAAATAGCTCCTCAGTTATCACGAGGCTGAGTGGACCAACTACTTATCAGAAAAAAATCTTGTAGCTCCGGAGCTGTAGCCAGGAACTCTTTTTGTTAAGAAGCAAAATTTCCGCTATTGGTCAGCCACAAACCCCAGAGAAATTTATGAGAGACCACATCACAGTTCCAGAGGCACATTTTAGTGTGCGGTATCTTTGTTTGGAATTATTGGCCTGTACTTATTTGAAGATCAGTGAGAAAGGGCTGTAACTGTGACTGGACCACATTATGTTCACATGTTGGAGAGCTTAGCTCCTGGACTTGCTCGTCTTCCAGTCAAGGAAGAAACGTTTTTTCCAGCAAGATGGGGCTACATGCCACACCGCATGAGCTTCCATGGCAGTTGTGAATAACCTGTTTCCTAATCATGTTATCTCCAGATATGGGGACACCATATGGCCAGCCTGGTCATCTGATCTTCCCACATGTGATTTTTTTCTCTGGGGATATCTGAAATCCTAAGTTTTCAAAGCTCCAGCACCCCACACAGTTCAGGAGTTGAACAGCGAATTTGGGAAGAAGTTGAACGCATTCCCTTAGAGATGTGGCAAAGAGTAATGAGTGACTTTAGGAAGAGACTTACCGAGTGCCTACAGTGGAATGGTCATCCATCTGTTGGATGTTATTTTTGGGAAATTGACTTCTATTTTCAGTGAGTTAATTGAGAAAACCCAAATGCTTTCATGTTTACACTGTATTCATAAATGCAATAGTTTACTGTTCATGATGTTTTTAAAATGGCCCAATTCATTGACGCACCATGTATTTATATTTTCCAACATTTAATGTCACAGGATCACATATGCTTCTGCAACTTAAACAGTTGCTTAATCACCCCATTACAATTTATTTTCTGTCCATAACTTTAATTATTTTAATCTCAGTTCATTGTCACTTTTATTACATCGTGTATTTGATTCACATCTTAATTTGGTTTGATTTACATTTACTTGTACTGTTTACATGCATCTTCTAAATTCTCTTTAACTCTTCATGTAATGTAGAAATATTTTGTATTAACAGAATTGAAGTTCCTATCATTCATTCCTCTTAGTTCTTATTTGTATGTGTTTATTTCTAACTTTTATTATTTTTGATTTCCTGTAAATCGTAGTTAATAATGTGACTATTTGTTTTCACTACATAATACACATACTATACACAATGCATGCACAAATTATTTACTGATATATTGGAGTACTGTCATAAATTTTCTGTGTACTTATATCAGTATTTAACAACTCATCAGCTTTGTGACAAGAACTCCCACTTCAGATACTATAATTCTAATCTTGTGTTCTAGAGTAGTGAAAAACTGCCATCGCGGAGACCATCCTTGGCGGAGCTTATACCTGATTGGCCAGTTCTCCACCACTTTGAAAAGATGGAGGTTGGATTTATATGCCTTAGAGATAGTTTTGTTTCATGTATCTTTACTTGCATCTGCTGTTCTTCTGTACTGCTGCTCTCTCCAGGGACTACTCTTCTCACTCTTGTTACAAGGATATGAACTCGTGTAATAATCAAAATATATGTTTACGTAGTTGATTATCTTTCATTGTTGTATACTGTATGTGTTATTGTTGTTACAGTGTGTTAATTAGTAACATGACATATATCTTCACTGTCATAAACAAGTTACCTAACCCAAATGATTTAATAAGTGTTGACTGGACCTTCAGACTATGCTCTGATTTTGCTGTTATGTTACATAAATGTACAAAATTCTGGTAACATTTTCAAATTACAAAGATCCATCTTTTACAGGAACATATACAATTTTAAAGAGGAACCACACAGTGAAATTATAAGAAGTCAGTTTTTTGTATTCTGTAACATATTATTATTAATACATATTAAATGCATACTGAAGGACCAAATTTTGTATGACTGGTCATTATTCAGATGATGTTCCAGTATAAGTCTAATATTTATGTAATATTAAATGCTAATATTCATTATCTTCAATACTACATGCATCTTGTAACAATGTATGCACTCATGATTTAAATCTGTCACAGATATTCTGAGTAGTTATCAAGAATGAGCATGATATAATGGCTTGAAAATATTTCCTCTCCTACTAGTACTTCAAGTGTTAGAAAACCTGTGTTTCCCTTAATTGTCTTCATTTAAAACATCTCAATTGAAACTAATGCAATGTAGCTCAAACAGAGGAAAACCCTCAGAAAGTTCAGATATATGTCTGGAATTGTGAAGTGTGTGATGCAAGCATGGGCATAGCATTCATAAACAATATAGTCTGAGCAATGACCTTATGCCAGTAAAAAAGAGTGTACAGGCCTATATAGTTCGGATATGACTCAAGTGTTCATATATTTCTTGAGAGATATTGCACTGTAAATGTGAAAATTCTCGACATAGTAGGTATTTCTTAAGAGAATTTACTACCAGAAATAAAACAAAATGGTGGGCAAAAATTGACTGAAATATAATCTTATTTCTAAGAGTTGACTATTACTGAGATGCCACTAACACTAGCACTCCAGTCACGTTTCAAAGTTACCTCCATCGAGTTTAATATTATAATATTAGATTAGCTAAATTGACTATGACAGTTCAGCTTCATATATGCATAGATAATTATTGAAATTAACAAGTAGCAAGTTGGAATATTCCTTTTAGTATTTCAGGTCAATACAGAAACAATTGTAATCAGGTGTGGCATTTAATAAGTTTACTGTTTCACGCTGTCTGTATAGATCGAACAAAATCAGACTTACTCTAAATTAGATCTTGAGATAAATTTTGAGAATAGGGTATCTAGATATCTCAAGTATACTAAGTGGAGTTTGAAATAATTGTATTACGCAAATATTTGTAACGTAAGGTTTTACTTTCAATTTTAATATGCTTTCAGTACAACATTTCTCATAAATTTGCTGGCATTTGTAGCAGTGTTTTAACAAAGATATTTCAAATTGAAATTAAAAGATAAATAGGAAATTCTATTCAAAGAAAAGCATGTAACAATTTATAGGAGTCTTTATGAGATACTGTAAACTATACAATGACTGTGACACCATAGTCTGTATGAAAAGACATGTCAGTAATATAACATAGTTTATGACAGTTCAAGAATTAGGAAAGTCTGCAAATCTACCTGCTTTTTTTTTCTCAAAAGAACACGGAAGTAAGAATATGAATTTAATATTTTAATCCATGTTTGAGTTTCATTTTTATGTACTAATTGTTTTTTCAAATTTCTCATATATATTCAAAGGTCTGTTTTATTTTAATTCACTGAACTCAAAGCTGATATTTAATACTCCCTCATGTTTATTAAACATTCATTATTAATTATTTATTAGCAATTCAAAGACCACCCAATTTCAGTATTCTTCCCAAATTTAGTTCATATAACGAATATTTGTAATAAGCAGAAGTGCCTTCATAATTATAATAGTAACTCAGATCATAAAATGTAGTTTATATTTAATTTAAAACTGAAAACTATATATTTCCTGAACTTATTTTGTACATATAGTAAAATTTTTCCTGTCTAAATTTGTTTTTGTAAATTTTATAACCACTTGTTGGGAAAAACTTCGATGGTAACCACATTCAACTGCAGAAATTTTATTATGAGTTAATTTCAGTCTTTTAGTCAGTTCTTGTTTTGCATTCACTGATGCCTTTTACAAGAGTATACAGATCTCATAAGCCGACTTCTTGAATGCCATTAATTTAGGGTAGGAAATAATAATAGTAGAGTAATAAAAAAATACCCTCGCCACCACCACCACCACTACTAACTACTACTACTACTACTACTACTACTACTACTACTACTACTACTACTACTACTAACAATAATAATAATAATAATAATAATCAATGTATGCAGACACAATTTCTCTTACCTGCTTTTTCATGGAACAAAAAATTATTATGTGAGATTCAAGGTTCCCAGAGGAATGACTATGAAGTTTCCTGTCTTCAGGGATGTGATGTAGCGTAATCTGCCATATTTTGTTGACAATTTGGAGACATTTGCTGCCTTTATCTTCAGGACTGAAGAATGTGACAAGGACAAAAAGATGATATCGATGTAAAAAGCAAAAAAAAAAAAAAAGCAAAGGTATCCCTGTAACAGGCCGTGGAGGCCCATAGGAGGCCCATATTCTGGACAATCAGCTCATAGATGGCAGCAAGGCTGTCAGTCCTACACGCCGTCTGCCCTTTACCCCCAAGAATATTCCAAGAATATTCCTGGGACTCAGTTCTGTTAGAGGCTGAGTTGACCCCAGGGCCATACTGTGTTTGGAAGGATTAGGTAAATTGAAACATATCCAATGACCTCATCGGGACTTGAACCCGCGACCTTTCGGCTTGTAGCATAGTGCCTCAACCAACTATGTTACCGTGTGCCCCGGTATTGATGTAAGGAGAGGAAATGCTAGTGTCTGGATGTTTCACTAAGAAGAAAGGAGAACAATAAAAGAATATATGGCCCTTAAATTAGTTATGTTCCCGGGATAGAGAAATCAGGAACTGGGTGAACCAGTGGGCAGTATACAGAAATCAGCCTTTTTCAAGAACAGAATGGGTCTCAGAAAAGACAAAACATCAGCAGGGAGCTAATGTAGAGAACAGAGTTGGGGGGAGGGATGAAAAAATTAAAATGTTGGAAGACAGAATAAATACAGTAAGGCCTCACTAATTTGGGCTAATGGAGAGTGAACTGTTATCCAAATCAATGAAAGTCTGAATGCTATATTGCAACAGAAAACATGTTCGGGGAAGTTATCAAGTGGAATTCAGGTGTCTTTTAGCCAATATAGCTTTATTTTGAAACTTAGATTTCATATCATAAAATAAACTTACTTGTCATAAAATGTAAAATTGTAAGTTTTGACATCAGTCTTAAACATTTTAGGTAGAGGCAGTGTGAACACCAAGGTCTTAATGTATAGGTAACTTACCAAGAGCACACAGTATCCTCTACAAGTTTATCAGGTCTACATTAAACAGACTGATTTTTTGACTGAAACCAGGGTCAAGGAGCATTGTTGCCATATCCATCTGGATCATCAGATGAGTCAGAGATGACAGAGCACATCATGGACTGAGAATATATCTAAGTTCAGTGCATTAAAATCATTTGTACCAAACACATATAAATGGATGTGTTATCAGGAAGGAAACTGAGCTAGAGCTCCAGCCCAATAACATGAAGAAGGAGAATGGTCTCTAACAAAGCACATCATTGGAACATTTTACCTGCTTCCTTACTTATGAGACCTACACTGTAGGATCCCCCTTAATTTTGTTCCAAAAATAGTTTGTTAGATCCAGTGCATGGTGCCCTTGTTAGAACCTTCTCCTGTACCCTCTTGTGTAGTGAATCCTGTCCCTCCTCTTCTTCATTTTTTTCATGTTCCATCTCTCCCTGTTCTCCCTTTTGTATCAGCCCTCATTAGTGTTATGTCCTTTCTCCCATCCATTCTGCTCTTGAAACTGACCTTTCTTCTGCCTCACCAAACTTCCATGTATCTCTCACTGTCTCACCTAGAGCCATTATATTTCCAAATCTCTCTACCCTTGGAAACAACCTTTCCAAAGCCTTTTATTCTTCACAACATTCTTCTTTTGCCTACTGATTTACTCAGAGCACTGTTAGTCATGCTTCCTACATCCACACCACTTTTTTGTGTCCAACATATTCATATACCCTGAAGAAAAGGACAGCACATCCTCCAGAATATCAGTAAATATGTTCCATGCTACATGATATCACATCCCAGAAGACTGTAATCTTCAAAACTTAACTGGTATGACACACTTCATTCACTCTCAGATAATTACATTAAGATGTTTATCATAATAAAAGTAATAATATATATCAGAGCATTTAATTTTGAAACCTCATCCAGTTAGTAGGTAAATGTGTATATTTAGAACTTGTATTGGTACTGTTTATAGGTTTGTCAATATTCTTTTATAGCTGTCTTTGATTTGACTCTTCCTGCACCTACTATCAAGCCATAAAGATTCTTTGCTTTAAAATTTCAGTCTTTGTCTAAGGTGTAAGATATGCACTTACACTTCCATTGCATATGTTTTATATTTTTTCATTATTTCAAACTTTTTTAAAATATTACTTCCATCTTCACTGTTCTTTCCTTTGATTTCTTATTCTTTCTGTGGTTCTTTATATTTTAATTTATTACATGCTTAGAATATTTTCTTCTTACATCTGTCTCTTATATTTTATCATTTTATTTACAAGAAGTTATGTTTTCAGATTCTACAAGGGTGTTAGTTGTGGCCGTTTATTTAGGAGGAAGCCCATCATCTTCATTACTCTTGTGTCTTAAAGTATACTATACCTTAATTAACAGTATTAAATGATATGTTTGATCTTTCAATTATCTAGAAACAAGAATCCTTCTTGAAGCCTTTAGTAGACAAACATGCAAAAGAAGGAAAGGACAAGAAAGTAGTATTTGAGGCTGTATTCTCCAAACCCAACTCCAAACCAAAGTGGTTGTTTAAAAAGGATGTAAGTATGTATTTTTACTGTAATTAATAAATATTAACTAAATGAATATTAGAAATTAAAAATGAGAAAATTGAAATTGATTACAAATTGTCACTGAAAAATCCGTCGAGTGTAACAGTGTTTTTAGGTCACTTATTTATCTCACTTTCCTTACATGTTTCGGTTCAAGAGAAACCATCATCAGAGGCACGTATTACAAACACATGAAAACACTGGCGCTGCTTAACGTACACAGTATGTAAACTGCGTGGACGCTGTTACAGATGTCGAAGTGTAAAAGCACAACACTTTCTAGTAGCATTGAATGCACGTACAACTCTTGCATTCCATCTGAAAATTGCCCTCAAATTGAGCTGTCAGTGTTAAAATATTTAAAAGTTTAAAACATTTAAAGTAAAATGTTCGGCTCCTTGTTGATTCGTCCCGATGATGGGAAGCGTCAACTTGAGGTTGTGTAGGCTTATGGTCGGATGTTTCTTACGCGTTGTGTGTTGTGATAGTGTAACGGACCAAAATGAAACAATTTGAAATTGATTCCTTAATGTGCAGTTGAACTGTTGATATTCAAGTCATAGAAGTTACTAAAGTGTACTGTGCTTGTAACATAATTTGCTCAAAGAACTATACCTGAAAGTAAGAAAAAATTTCTTACATTTGAACACATATATGCATATATACGAGTTGAGGGTGGTAAGGAAAAGTGAAGATATGTGTGCTCATGTGATGTGCACATCTATAGTAATTTTCTGTTAGTATCCTCAAAACATATCTTCATTGCCAGTGTTAAACATTGCCTTTTAACACATTTATTTTTGATACAGAGAAGTATGCTGCATTCAGTATATTTTCTTGGTTATTATATTTTATAATTTAAATTTATTACATGGTACTTGAAAATTTGTAAAATTAAAAAATGAAAATATTTATATTCCTATGTATGAGAGTTTATCTTATACAACACATAAGATTAACCATCTCTGAGTAATTCAGTCTTCTGATTCAGTGTCACAGAACAATGCTTCAATTTAGGAGGCTTATGGATCATGTCACCAGTGATATTCTGTGATATTCTTGGACAATTCTTCTGACCATTTCTATATCCAATGGTTATGAACCAGAACAGATAGATGAATGATCCTTATCCAAATGGTTGTAATACCTGTATGTATGGATTGTTGAATGATAATAAAATGATAATGATAATAAAAATAAATATATAAATTGAAAAATCCTTTGATATAACATGGCACCTTGGCTTGCTATATAAATTATCTAATTTAAAATTTTCAATCAGTCTGATCAAGCTTATTAGCCCTTTTCTTTCTCACAGAAAATTCAAAGTCCTGGTTGAAGGTGAAATGTCTATGCCAAGGGATATACATGCAGGGGTGCCACAAGGTTCTGTCATGTCCCCCACATTGTACAGTATATATATTGTGACATGTTGCGAAATCCGAGCCCCCCCCACACCAGCAGTGATGCGGCGGGGGGGACAGCGCCA